TAACGATCAGTATCCCAAATAGTCACAAGTTAATACGGCATCTCTCGTAAAAAAAATCTCATCAGATAATCTATCCCAAATGCCATCACGACAATGACATTCATTTGCTCGAGCTTAGAAAAGCTTAGTAGAAAAGCCATGTTGTAACTAAAGTGACTAACGTAGAATCCAGCCTCTTTAAAATGATAGTTAGTTAGAAATTTTAGGAAGGGCACCTGGAGAAGCGTGAGTGCACAACAAATCGAGAGATATTTGTGGAGAAAGAAGAGGAAAAAATCTGGAAATAATAAAAAAAAAATGGTGGGGATAAAAGCATTCCCAAAGCATCAGACTTATTTCTGGATGTTTTCTGAAGACGATGAATGATCTAGAGTAAATATATGGGTCTATTTGTGTTGTTGTGTTGATGTTTCAATTCATTTTATTGCTAGCTGGGTTAATACGACACTTTTTTTGCATCTTTAAATATCATTCCAACAACTGTGCAATTGCCGTTTTCCATAGCAGGTAAATTTACCAATGCTTTACCTGTTATTGCTTTAATTTCTGCAGTTCCCTGATTCCCTTACTAAATTGTTTTCATCAACTGGGCCCATCAGTTAAAGAAATAATTTTAAACAGAGACAATGAGAAGATTAGTGCATCCTTTTGATGGGAGCAGAGAGGATTATAGGAACAGCATCTGAGAAGTTAGATTTTCAGAAAAGAGTGGGAAGGAAATGATGGATGGATTGAGATTTTTGTCAGACAGGTGTTTGAAAATTAGGGAGAACCTGGATCAACTTTTGAATATACTTTAGGCACGCATTAAGCTCTATAAAAAGGCAAATGTTTTTAAATTGTGCTCTCTTTTTCAGTTTTTGATCACAGTGTCTGAGCCAAAACTGCTGAATCTCCTAAATATTGTAGCACTTGTTAAACTAAATGTGTTTCAGCAATTTTCGGCAGTCAGTTCTCAGCCTTTGAATTAACTTTTATAAAGAGAGAGGTGAGATCCGACAGTATTGAGGCTCAGATCAGACAGATCTAAGCTTAACATACTGTTTAAAAATTGAATTGCAACCATCTGTATTAACGGGGTTTTAAGAGTTGAAAAATGCAGAATGATGGTGTAGTTTTGAAATTTCAGCAGCTTGGCACGTCCATTAATGTTTTCTCTAATATTTAAAATTATGGATGCCGATCCAGACAGGAAATACGATCATTATATTCTGGGACTCACCAAAAGTAAATGGACAGAGCTTTGAGTGTAGCTACCATCTTATCTTTTTGTGTGTCATTCCCTCTAGATAGCCCTGCCAAGAGCAGTTGTGTTTGGGAAAAGGAAATATGGACATTATGGTAGAATGTCAGAAGCAGGAAGATCTTTAGCATAGAATTTAGAATAGAATAGATAGAATAACAGAGTTGGAAGGGACTTTGGAGGTCTTCTAGCCCAACCCCCTGATCAGGAAGGTGACCCTATACCATTTCAGACAAATGGTTGTCCAATCTGTTCTTAAAAACATCCAGAGTTGGAGCATTCACAACTTCTGGAGGCAACTTCTGTTCCATTGGTTAATTGTCCTCACTGTCAGGAAATTTCTTCTTAGCTCCAGCTTGCTTCTCTCCTTGATGAGTTTCCATCCGTTGCTTCTTTTCTTGCCTCCAAATCCTTTGGAGAATCGCTTGACCCCTTGTTCTTTGTGGCAACCCCTGAGATATTGGAATACTGCTGTCATGTTTCCCCTTCACCCTTCTCTTCATTAAACTAGACTTTGTTGAACACAGCCTGTATGATTAAGCATGTTAAAGAGTGGCCACTTTTTTGAACCACCAGGAATTCTTTTCATTCATTAGGGATAGAAGATCACGTGAAGTGTTAATACCACTTTTTGATGCCGTGGAATACAGTGTGCTCCTTCCTTCCTTCCTTCCTTCCTTCCTTCCTTCCTTCCTTCCTTCCTTCCTTCCTTCCTTCCTTCCTTCCTTCCTTCCTTCCCTTCAGGTGTTTTGGGAAATAGATTGACTCCCTCTTATTTATGGCAACCTCTCACATATGGGAACACTGCTTTCATGTCACCCATAGTCCTTCTCTTCACTAAACTAGACATACCCAATTTCTGCAACCATTCTTCAAATGCTTTAGCCTCCAGTCCCCTGATCATCTTTGTCGCTCTTCTCTGCCCTCTTTCCAGAGTCTCAACATTTTTTTTATATTGTGTGGCCAAAAAAGAGAAAGAAAGAAAGAAAGAAAGAAAGAAAGAAAGAAAGAAAGAAAGAAAGAAAGAAAGAAAGAAAGAAAGAAAGAAAGAAAGAAAGAAAGAAGCAGAAGGGAGGGAAGGAGGGAGGAAGGAAGGAAGGAAGGATCATAAATCGAAGGAAGGAAGGAAGGAAGGAAGGAAGGAAGGAAGGAAGGAAGGAAGGAAGGAAGGAAGGAAGGAAGGAAGGTCTTGTGGAACAGAAGAAAACCTTTCCACACCCCAGGCAGCTTTTACATCTCATGACTGAGCGTGTTTCTGACGCTGTAATGAAATATTGTTTTCCTAATATTCTGTGACCTGAATTTCTTCTTGCTTTATGGGAGCAAATCAGTATTTCCTCTAGTCAGCATTTGATGATGGATGTCAAAATACAGGCCATGTATAATGCATATCTAGCATTAGCGATTTAAGGTGTTTACCTGTCAAGTCAAAGAAATTCAAAAACTTCACGTTCGCTGAATTCACCCAGCTGTCACTTGCAGTTTTTCATAATTTCAAATGAAAGTTGTGATAAAACAGTTTATGTTTCCTTGACTTTTCCTTTTTTTTTTTTTTTGAAGGAAGAAACAGACAGCATCTAAAATTTATGCTGCAAGCTGAAAGGCAGGCAACAAAGAGAATTGTCTGAAAATTGAAAAAAAGCACCTTTCTGGCTTTCTTTGACCTCCCGCTTTTTTTTTTTTTTTTTTTTTTTTTAGAAAAGTTGAAACAATCCTATTTAGCAATTATGCACCTCTTTGTATAAAACAGCAATTTTGTAAAGAAAAGATTCCCAGAGAGTAATCTGTAAACTTATAAATGTGGCACAGTGTGATGGAATTTGCTTCTTCCGAACCCAATTAAAATGATTAGCTCTAGACAAAAGGCATGTGCTTATAGTGAAATAATAAGAAAATACATGTAACCAATAGGAGACAATATTTGGGCCTCAGGGCTGAACACTGATTGTGTCACCTAGTTTGGTAATGAAACGTCTGTAAGAAAACCACAAAGAGCACCGAAGACCCCACCGTCTTTTTTCTCCTTTTTTCTTTTTCTTTCTGTTTTGTTTTTTCTTTTCCTCCTTCTCCTCGCAGTCCCTCGCAGTCCCTTCTAGCACTGATGATGTTAGCTAGTTTGGTAATGTAACATCTGTAAGAAAACTACCAGAGAGTACCAAGGACCCCATAGTCTGTCTTTCTTCTTCTTCTTCTTCTTCTTCTTCTTCTTCTTCTTCTTCTTCTTCTTCTTCTTCTTCTTCTTCTTCTTCTTCTTCTTCTTCTTCTTCTTCTTCTTCTTCTTCTTCTTCTTCTTCTTCTTCTTCCTTCTTCTTCTTCTTCTTCTTCTTCTTCTTCTTCTTCTTCTTCTTCTTCTTCTTCTTCTTCTTCTTCTTCTTCTTCTTCTTCTCCTCCTCCTCCTCCTCCTCCTCCTCCTCCTCCTCCTCCTCCTCCTCCTCCTCCTCCTCCTCCTTCTCACAAACCTCACTCCTTTCTAGCACTGATGCTGTTAGCTAGTTTAGTATTGAAACTGTAAGAAAACCAAAGACCCCACTCCTGTATTTGTGTAAAGTTTCTTTTGTATCATAGACACCTCCATAGTGACATTCTTTTAGTAACCTTGTAGAATACCTTGTAGAATACAATGTCACTTGACCTAGTCAAATACACCTATGGGATAATTAGCCCAACTGGCATCCTTTTTGGGGTTCCCTTGATTTAGCCCAAAACAGGATTAAATTAACTTCCCAGTCAACTAACTTTGTGTAACGCAAACTCCTTACTAATGACTATTTCTGATAATCATGATTTATACAATATTTAAATGGCACAGAGAGCAACTAGCTGGGCGGGAAGCTAGTTTAACCCTAGATAGTAGCACTTGACCAATCCTGGCTTATCTTACATAGCTAAGTGAGGTCAGACATAGTTAATCCAAAATTGTAGATTATCTTTAGACATAGAAGAAGCATCCTGGAAAAAAACAAGACAATTCCTTCCAATGTGGAAGTCGAGGCACAGCACCTTTTTAAAGATTGTTGTTGTTGTTAATTGCGAAGTCGTGTCCGACCCATCGCGACCCCATGGACAACGTTCCTCCAGGTCTTCCTGATTGCACATACCATGTTTCCCTGAAAATAAGACCAGGTCTTATACTATTTTTTGCTCCAAAAAGATACCTTAAGTCTTATTTTGGGGGAAATACGGTATTAAATGCATCCATCTGGCTGACGATCTTAGCTGGGGCTTATTTTGGGGGTGGGGCTTATATTAGGAGCATCCTGAAAAGTCACTCTAGGATTTATTTTTCGGTTGGGACTTGTTTTCGGACTACTGCTACCCGATACAAAAAATACACATTTGTTAGCATTTATTTCCTTGGAAACATTAGAGGTTATATGGGGCACGGGGATCCGAGTTGGCCGCAAATGGTTCAGATTCATCCTTATCCCAAATATTCCAGACCAGGGTAGGCAACCTTGTCTCTTTTATGACTGGTGGACTTCAACTCCCAGAATTCCTGAGCCAGACTGGCTCAGCTTGGAAACCTCTCCCTTTCCCCTCAGCATGGCTGGCTCAGGAATTCTGGGAGTTGAAGTCCACAAGTCATAAAAGAGCCAAGGTTGCCTACTCCTGGTCTAGACCTTCTTCTTATTTCTTCTCATCCACAGGCCCACTAAGGACCATTTCAGTACGGATTCTTCCTAGTCTAATCTTGTTGTAATTAGAGTTACGAGTCATAGTATAGAATCTCAGCTTCTCTTTACTCTTGTCCCTACAGGGTTTTCGCCACCTGGAATGGACAGGTCATCACCTGACAAGAGTCCAGTGCACGGCCTTCTCCGTCAGCCCTCCATTACGACGGGAATCGATATCCCTATTATTACTGAGTTAGGTAAGCTCTCTTGGGACCTTTCTACCTGTTTTTCCCAGCCTAAAGAGTGCTGCATTTAAGTAAAGATGTAATAGGGTTTTCTCCTGAAAGTTGTACAGTATGTGTGCGCATACCAACATCCATGTAGAACAAGCTCACCGACATACACACCAATGAGGTAGTTCAGGGGTGTCAAACTGCCGGCCCACGGGCCAGTTGTGCCACGTGGAGGCCACGCCCACCCCATCTACACAAAGGCAAAAAAATATTGCAATATATTGTGATATGCCATGTGTGACCCCCGTTTCGGTGTTCTTTAAGCATGGGAACCAACCGGATGACTCTGGACCAGTTGTTCTCTCTCAGTGCAACAACACAACTGGTGTATGTGATCTTTAAAGAGATGGACTAAGAATAAGGAGATCAAAGTTCTAGTGTTCCTTGAGGCATGGAAGAGAACTGGAAGAGTTGGGCCAGTCATACACTGTCCTGGAAGTCAAAAGAGTCTATCTCCCTCTAGCTCAGTGGTTCTCAACCTGTGGGTCGGGACCCCATTTGGGGTCGAACGACCATTTCACGGGGGTCGCCAAAGAAGGCTGTCCGCAATTTTTTCCCCCTTTTCTTTGGCCACGCCCCTGGCACCTGGTGATATATAAGTGGTTGGGGGTCACCACAACATGGGGAACTGTATTATGGGGTCGCGGCATTAGAAAGGTTGAGAACTACTGCTCTAGATCAGATGGGATAGTCCATAGCCTTCATGAAGAAACTTTCTTCCTGCAGTGGATTGATAATAATAATACACATGCATACATACAGAGGTGCACACACATACACACAATGATTAAGCCAGTTCTTTTTTTAAAGATCTATCTTAATTTTACTTCTTTTACTGGGTAATAATCTACGGTTATGACCCAGGTCATGTAGGCAGTTGCAGGCACCCATGAAGTCTTTCACGGCACTGCTATCCTGTGACAGATGGCCCTACAATGACCGGCGAAGCTTCACCCCAAACTTTCCCAAAAGCAGCCACCCCAGTGTCCCACAAACTAGATCCAATAGTCGCCAGAGCCAATTCACAAGGCCAGGAGGAAGTTTGTAGCCTGTAAACAAGGTTCAAAGTCCACAAGGCCAGTTCCACAGTTCACAAACAAGGTTCAGAGTGCACAGGGCAGAAACACGATCTGAAATCAAAGAAGGAGAGTTCACAGAGGCTGGGGAAGTGTGTGCCAAAGCAAAGAATTGTTCCCGATGAAGGCACCCTCTCCTGGTCTCTGGTTAAATCCGTCCAAGCCAGGTGTTTCTTGTGAGAAGGGATGGGGAGGCCTCCTCACCAACAACCTCACAGACCTCCTTTGAGCTTGCCTCCGCTCTACTCTCCTTGCCTTCGGATGCGAGTCGATTGCTAAGCATTCCGAATTTTGATCATGTGACCCTGGGGATGCTGCAACAGTCATTAAATGTGAAAAATGGTCCTAAGTTTTTTTAGTGCCGTGGTAACTTTGAACGGTCGCTAAATGAACGGTCAAGGACTTCTGGGAAACATCTCAAATAATACTGAGTCGGGCCACTGAGGAGTTCCTACTCTTGACATCTGCACCTTTCGCAAAGACAAACAAATATTCTTTTTTCCCCCAAAGACAGATTCCACCTACACTTTAATTTAGTTCTCAGCAACATGTCAACATTCAAGGCGCAGAACTTTCTGCCCAGGTGCTGTGTTTCTTCTTTATGTTAGGGCGTGTAAAAAGATATCAGATATTAGAGCCAGGTACGTTGTCCTTTTCTTTTCAGTGAATGATTCCAACGTCCAGTTCCTGGATCAAGATGATGATGATGACCCAGATACCGAACTGTATCTAACCCAGCCTTTTGCGTGCGGGACCGCCTTTGCGGTTAGTGTCCTGGATTCCCTCATGAGTGCGGTAAGCACCCATCTTTTCTATGTTCTGTGTATCGTAAGAATAAGACTGCAGTTTTGACTCTAGGTCTACGCTCACTCTAGGGAGAGACTAAAAGGTGCTTTCCCAAAAGGTCAACTGGAATTTCTTGGGTTTTTTTTTTCCTGGAAATGTTTCACGACTTATCCAAGAAGCTTCTGACTGAACAATGGGAATAGAAGGATAGATAAATAGATAGATAGATAGATAGATAGATAGATAGATAGATAGATAGATAGATAAGATAGATGATAGATACTAGAGAGATTATTCAGACATATAAAGATAGATGGATAGATAGATAAGATAGATAGATAGATAGATAGATAGATAGATAGATAGATAGATAGATACCAGAGAAATTATACAGACATATAAAGATAGATATATAGATATAGATATAGATGATATAGATATAGATGATATAGATCAGACATGTCAAACACAAGGCCCGCGAAGTGGTTTCATGTGGCCCGCGAAACCATCCTGGAAACAGTGAAGGAATGGCCCCCTCTGCCTTGGCCCTGGCCCAGGCCAGCTGGGAGCCAATGTACAATTTTGTGGTGGCCCTCTATGATGAAATGCATTCAGTCTTAGCTCCATAACCCCCCCCCCGCATGGCCTGAGAGGAACAGTGAGGCTCCTCCAATGGACCATGTCTTGGCACTTGCCCTGGTCCCACCTCCTTCTGCCAGAGACCCTCAGATCTATCTCACTGACCACGCCCACCCAGTAGGCCACACCCACTCCATCCACACCCACCCAGTAGGCCACACCCACCCTGGCCACACCCACCCGGCTCCCTGAGGGCAACCGCAATGCTGATGCGGCCCTCAATGAAATTGAGTTTGACACCCCTGATATAGATATAGATGATATAGATATATACATTAACTTGAACAGCCCTTTCTCAGCAAAGGAGGAGGAGGGATATGACATCCTTTCAGCAGTCCCAAGAAGGTTCTTCTCCTCCTTCACACTCTGATCCAGCTGAACCTAAGGGCAATCCATGGAAACTAATCAGGGAGAGAAGCAACCTAGTTACTAAGGAGAAACTTCCTGACAGTGAGGACAATTAACCAGGGGAACAGCTTTTGCCCTCCAGAAGTTGTGGGCGCTCCATCACTGGAGGTTTTCAAGTAGAGACTGGACAGCCACCTGTCTGAAATGGTATAGGGTCTTCTGCTTGAGCAGGAGGTTAGACTAGAAGACCTCCAAGGTCCCTTCCAGCTCTATTCTGATTGAATGTGAGAAGCGTGAATCACGAACATCTGAAATGAGAGGTTTAGGAATAACTGAACTTGAGCGAGCTGGAATGGATAAGCGTAGCTCTCCTGTTTGTTGGTTTATTCAATTTCTACGGCTGCCCAAGTCAACCAATTGGCTGAATTATATATTCAAGGCATGAGATTATACAGAGGAAGAGTGCAGCCATATGCTCAAAAAGAATATTGTTATCATATTTATTGAATGCAGATACAGGGGGGAGGGCATGGAGAAGTGCCACTGCAAATTGAAAAAAAAAAAGAAAAATGTTAAGCAAAAAAGGCTGCAATGGATGATTGCAGGGTAAATATTAGAAAAATGAAAAACCTGACGCATAGATGGTTTGAATTGGGTAAAAGTCAAGAGAGTTTTGTAAAGAGGATTTCTTGTTTATTGCTAACACCTCCTTCCAGCCACATGTGATCACCAGATGTGCAACATTGGAATCAAACTGACTACGTAATGGGAAACAGGAGATTAAGGAGTGCAATCCAGTCAGGCCTGCAAAGTTGCAGGTGCAGACAATGGAATGGACTGTGAATTATTGGTGTCAAATATGTGGGTTAAACTTAGAAAATTGAGAACAGAGTCCCATGTGCCAACAAGATTTAACCTCAAGGACCTAACAGTCAGAATTTCAGATCAATGTAAGGAACAGATACAGTATATATATTTGTTTTCTGAGGTTTTCACGGGTGTTTGTATGTAGGTCTTTGGTTATTCGGGTTTTCTCCCGCGTCAAATTGGAAGTGTCTTGGCAACGTTTCAACGAAGTCCCATTCGTCATCTTCAGGCTGGTGTTTTCAGCTTCGTGCTTCTATATATATAAAAGAGAAGCCCAGAAGTCATGGGATGAAGTCGAAGTCATGAAATCAAAACAGTCAAAAAAACAAAAGGAAAAAAAGCTTCCTCGGATGTCAAAGAGAAAAAAGAAGAAGCTGTGGGAATGCCCAGTGAAAGACAAAGGGTTCAGATCCAACAAAAAGGGCAAATACAAGGGATGAATTCAGGCTTCAAAGACCAACCTGGAAAACACAAAGACGCCAGTTATCAAGAATGTCAAACAGATAAAACATTGTGAAGAAAACCAGGATTTTCTTTAAAGGAGATCAGAGAAATCGTAAGAAAATCTCAACAGTGTTTTTTTCATGAGGCAACTGGATATTATTTTCCTCTTTGAAGACGTTTGACTTCTCATCCAAGAAGCTTCTTCAGCTCTGGCTGGATGGTGGGGAGGGGCAAGATCATCCAGTCAGAGATGAAGAAGCTTCTTGGATGAGAAGTCAAAAGTCTTCAAAGCGAAGAGAAAAAAAAGTCCAGTTGCCTCGTGAAAAAGCACCTCTGGGACCACCATGACCTGGATGATGGAGAACCTCCATAGACATAAGAAAAACTACAGTTAACATGGGCTACTCAGGTAATCATGGATGTAAGCTAAAAGAGGGAAGTAAGGATGAAGTAAGATGGAAAGACTGTCCTGAAATCCTTTATGATGGCTTTACAGAATGACAGAAATTTTGCCAAGAAAAAATGAGGCACCATAGATAATAGACCTGTTGAAATCTCCGGATAAAATGGGCATGTATTCAAATTAGATAGATAGATAGACAGACAAACAGAGAGACAGACAGATAGATATTGAAAGACAGACAGATAGATCGATATGCATATAAATAGACAGACAGATAGACAGATAAAAATAGATAGATAGATAGATAGATAGATAGATAGATAGATAGATAGATAGATAGGCAGGCAAGAAGACGGATGGACGGACAGACAGATAAAGATAGATAGATAGATAGATAAATAGATAGATAGATAGATAGATAGATAGATAGATAGATAGATAGATAGATAGATAGATAGATAGATAGACAGAGAGAGAGAGAGACAAGTAGGTAGGTAAGCAGGCAGACAGACAGACAGACAGACAGATAGATAGACAGATAAAGATAGACAGATAAAGATAGACAGACAGACAGACTGACAGACCAACCAGATAGGAAAATAGCAGGGATAGGTGAAATAATGTTTAAAGCAGGAGGAGAGAATTAAAATTCCAACTGCTCTATATCAACAATTATTGAGCAACATTGTGCGATCTAGAAATTGGAAAAGAGGATGGAATATTCCTATGGAAGATACCATAAAAGGTGCAAATTGTTGAACTATAAATTACTTCACAAGCAAGGTTTTGCTTAAGAACTAATTCCAGGCCAGAAGGACATAAGTTCAGACAATGAAAAGAGCAAAATGTTATAAGGAACACAGAAAGTTATTTTTGCTTTATTGACTGATCAAAGCCATTGATTATATAAATTAGAATATAAAATGCATTAAGACTAATATGATATTATGATTATACTCCTGAGGAGCAAAGACACTGTTCAAAAATGGAGCCTTGACTTAACAGTAAAGAAAAAGCTATTTAAAAACTGGATCTTGAAAACAGTATTTTATAACAGACGGAGACAAAAATGCACTTTGTCCTCATTTCCATTTAATGTATATATAATAAGAATATCATAAAAATGCAGAGTGGAGAGAGATAAAATGTGGTGTCAAAACTGGGGTGGGGGAGGCTGAAGCACTCTTAAAGCTTTGCAGATATGCATATTCTTAATAAAAAATAAAGTAAGACAAGCTCATTTGAAAGTGAAAAACATAAAGTGAAAAATTAAGAACTCATTTTAGGCCAGAAGGTAAAATATTGAAATAATGTCAGTCGTTGTTATAATCAACACACAATGAATGGTGAAGAAGTGAAAGTGTAGTCAATTTTTATTTTTCTAGATTGAAAAACATCTATAGATGGACAGCAAGGTGAAGAAGGAAGTAGATTTGTCCTACAGAAGAATGGAATAAAAAATCTAGCCAAGAATATATGTGTGAAGGATAATTCTATGAAAATGAACATCAGAACAATTAGGGACCTTGGAGTCCTAGTGGACAATCACTAGCCAGCTGTGTGCATAATCATTATATCCAATCCTGTATAAACAGAGGCATAGAATCAAACTCACATGAAGTATTAGTACCACTTTATAAAACCCCAGTGAGGCCACACCTGGAATACTGCAGCCAATTTTGGTCACCATACTACAAAAACGGCGTTGAGACCTTGGAAAAAGTACAGAGGAGAGCAACTAAAATGATCCAAGGCTTGGAGACTAAAACATAGGAAGAACGGCTGCAGGACTTGGATTTGGCTAGTCTAGCGAAAAGAAGGATTAGGAGGGACATGATAGCAGGATTCCAGTATTTGAGGGGCTGCCACCAAGAAGAGGGGAGTCAATCTGTTCTCCAAAGCACCTGGAGGCAGGACAAGAATCAACAGATGGAAACTACTCAAGGAGAGAAGCAACCTGGAATTAAGGAGAAACTGCCTAACAGTGAGGACAATTAACCAGTGGAACAGAAGTTGCCTCCAGAAATCTTGGGCACTCCATCACTGGAGGTTTTTAAGAAAAGACTGGACACTTGTCTGAGATGGTATAGGTTCTCCTGCTTGAACAGGGGGCTGGACTAGAAGACCTCCAAGGTCCCTTCTATTCTATTCTATTCTATTCTAATCTACTCTACTCTACTCTACTCTACTCTACTCTACTCTACTCTACTCTACTCTACTCTATTCTAATTACAAAGAGCTCTATGGCTAGGAGAAACTATTCAGCTGGTCCAAGATTAAATGAAGACAATTGCTTACTTGAGAGTACTATCTACACTTAACTGTTTTGTGTTTGTGGAGTGAGACTAGAAGAAAATAACTTGGCAAGGCTGAGAGACAAGCAGATAGTGAAGACAGCAGATTAAATACATGGACTGAGATTACAGCAATAGCTTTGGAAGAATTATAATTATTCCAGAGGCAGTTCAAGATAGTGAGAATTTTTCCATGAGATCAGCAGATGGTGACCCACCAAACAAACTGAACCCAAATTTTGGAAGGTGTGCCTGTGTGTGCCCAGGCTGAGTATTCTGATGAGCAATAACAGTATCTTTTTTTAAAAAAATCTATTTGATGAAACATAAACCTGGGTTACTTAATGGAGCACCAGACCAATGAATCTATAAATAAATGTTCTTCTTTTGGCCTGCAGTTAATATTTAAATAGCTTCCAATGCTGGCAAAACATCACACTGGGATAAATATTCCCTAATAAATCACATATTTTTTTACACCCGAGAGGGGATT